TAAGGACACTCAAATGAATGCACTACAGTCAGGAAAACAGGTCGATAATCAGGAAAGAACACATTTAAGTCAAATTCTTGTCCCAATTCATTCTTCCCCTGATAAGTCAATTCAGGAAAGACCGGGGGAAGAAGAAGAAGAGTCAGATCTAAGTTTTGAGGAAATTTTCGGTGAGGAGCTAAAAATATTAGGAGAAGCAGATCGGGTTTGTCAAAATAAAGAGACTGTGTTGGACAATTGCTGCTTTGAACTGAATTTTGAAAAACTTTTTCTTGATGAACTAAGATTTTTAGAAAATAAACAACCACCAAATTTTTACACATCAACCATAAATATTGGGGTTGAGGAAATTGTTAAAGAAAAATTGGTTGTTAGAGAACAAACTTTCACAAATCAAGAATCTAAGTCCAATATGCATGACACCAATAATACCTACCTTCCATTGCCACAAAAATCATTGAACACCCCGGAATGCTTAGAATTTCAGCACATTGTTATTTATATCATGTTGAAATTGTTTAAAATCCGTGGGAGAATTTTCAGCAATAAGGTAGGATTCAATGTAGAACAGGAACTCTTCATGTTGAATATTTCATTCTACATTGTTTATTTTGTTTATTTCAGAATAATAAAAAGAATTTATTCTTCTCTCATTTGAGAGTTTCTTATTCAGTTTTTAAAAAAAAAATAAAAAAAAAGAAGAAGAAAAAAAAAAGAAAAAGAATAAAGTTTTGATTTCATCCTCCTCAGACCAAAGGTAATTGCAGATTTTTATCAGCCGACCAAATGTAAGTGCTTCACTTCTTATCTGCTTTACTTTATGCATCATAGAGTTTGCATTGAGGACAATGCAAAATTTAGGTGTGGGGGTGGGAATTAGTTATTTTTTCTCTTCATTTTACATTTTTAGTTACATTTTTGTTTTTTCCTCCTTTTTCTTTAAAAAAATTTATAAAAATAGCGTCACTTACCAAATTGATGGAGTTATGTAATAATTGATTTAATTGATAAATTTGAAATTTTCTAATCCATTTCTAATCCCTAGTTGGTTATTTACTTAAGATCACCTTTTATGATAACTCTAAATAAATTTCTTAAGAAATGATTTTCAAAGTAGTATACTTTACTTAAGCCTTAACTTGGACTTTTATTTAAAATAATGAAATTTTTGCATGCTTAACTTAGAGTTGAAAATAATTTTTTTTCAAAGTGTCTTGATTTACATATTTTCAAAATATATATACATATACAAAAAAAAAATTGCAAAAGAAGAGTGCGAAAAATGGGCACCAAAAAGAAAAAAAATACTCTTGAATTCGAGGTGATTCTATCTTATAAAGCCTAAGCTGACCGAGTAATTAAGCCCAAGGAGTATTTCCATACTTAATGACCTAAGCCCATTTGGGTTGGGATCCATTAGCCTAAAACTCGTTAAATGGTCACTTAGAAAGCCCGTTAAAGTAGAAAAAAAATCACCAAAGAAGAAAGAGTTAAAAAAATTAATAAATGTTTTATAATTGTATATATGGTCTTGGAAAATATTTTAAATCAAGCAACTTGAAAATTATTTAAAACAAAGAGTTAGCATGTTCTTTTCAAAACTTTTAAATTAAATTTCTAAGTTTGGCTTGGTTTTGTATTGCTACAATAAGAAGATTTTCTTGAAAATATATCTTAGAGTTATATATAAAAAATTGTTTTCTTGAGTGATAACTGGCTCCAATTAGATTATCTAAAAGTTATCAAGTGAATTTAGTTATTTACTGACTTCTTTAATTTGGCAAGTTGACCGAATTTTGTGGGTATATTCACTGCAAACCCTCACGAGACTACAACTCGTCCACTAGGGTAACCTAGGGGTTTAAAGGCTTGTTGTATACGCTAAATACAACCGCGATTCCTGCGAAAGTGAGTTAGGATTTTCTTTTTATTTTCTTTGCTAGAGGACTAGCAAAAGTTTAGGTGTGGGGGTATTTGATAATCACATTTTATTACAGTTTTATACCCTCATTATCTATTTTATATGAATAAATATACCACTAATAATTATTTTTATCTTTTAATTGCAGGTTAATGAAGAATAAATCTCAAACTCTCATCTCTCAACAAAAACCCATTGATTAAATGAAGAAATAAAGCAAAGAAACCCATTGGAAAATCAATTTCCAAATTATCCAAAAGCCCAGAATGAAGTCGTGTAGCCTGTAGAACCCGGAGAAAATCAAAAATCCAATATGAAAAGAAATCATATTCAAAATGGTTGGCCACAAAGAAACGACGATATCTCCTAATCCGGAAGGCGGAATTTAACATATAATATATGAAAATCGCCTATCTCGACGAGACGAAGCTATCCGTGAAATCAGAATTTGAAAATAATGGGCATCGATGTCGGCATCGATGTGGGCATCGATGCTGGCATCGATACCTACATCGATGCCTGCATCGATACCAGATCACTGTAGCGCGCGTCAATGGCTGATTTTGCTTGTCTTGGGGCTCAAGTTTGATCCAATGGCTCTCATTCACTGATGTTTACTATAAATAGGGGTAGAGAGTGAGGGGTTAGAGGTGTGAAAATTTTGTAAACTCCTTTTGGAGAGGAGGGCTACTCTTAATTGAGAAGGCCTTCCAAAATTGTAACTTTTTATTGCAATTAATAATAATAATTTTTTCACCACTTTAAATATTTCTTCTCTTTGTTGGATGATGAAGATGGAGATGAAGAATTATTTAGAGGTTTGCATTTTCTTTCCTTTTTCTCTTTTATTTCCTTTTTATTGCTTATTAGTGTAGATTTATTTCTATGCTTGTAGTTTAGATTTTATTTTCTTGTTAAATAGCCAAGAGGCTAGAACCCTCTTGCCTTAGATTTATTTCATGCTTATAGAATAGATTTAATTTCTTGCATTTAATTCTTGCAATTTTATTTTGTAGTTTAGATTTTGCACTTTATTTTGTAGTTAGATTTTAATTTCTTATACTATTCCCCTTGAGGCTAGAACCCTCTTGGGTTTAGTTTTTCTTTTTGTTTATTTTTATTTTGTTTGATTCGCCTTTAGGCTAGAACCCTCTAGGGAATCACCATTTTCTAAGAAGTGGGTTCAATTGTAGATTACCCATATTTATAATTGAATCCACCATCTTTAATTTCTTGCATTTTCTTTTATTCTTGAATTTTATTTTCTTTATTCTTGATTTTTATTTTCCTTTTCCTTCTTGCCTTATTGATCATATTCATTCTTTGTCACATCCACTCTCACTTATATCTCGTGCCGATTTACACACTATCACTTCCACTCTCTCTATCTCTCCACAATCACATTTACTTATCACTCCTACTTGTCACACACACAACATAAGAACCAATTTTATATTTTCTCCTACAAAACACCTTCCTCGTGGGATCGATATCTTAAATACTATAACTTGACACGGTTGTGCACTTGCAACCTTTTTGGTACATGTTTATGCCGCATCAGTTAAGATATTTCTTAATATTGTAATTATTTGATCATTTGAAAGATAGTGTCATTAGATACTATTATATCACTAGCTCATTGTTATGGTTAAGCATCTTTGATTTGCAAGTATTTAAACTCAAATTTATTTACTTATTTATTTTCATAAATTTTTGTTTTGGGTATTAGTATTTTTCTATTAAACTTTCTCTTTATCGTAGCCTAGTGGTAAAGATGAGCATTGCCCTCTTCAACTGTTTTCTTTTTAAACATTCACTCTTCACGCGATTACTTCAATGCAAAACTTATCAAAGCGCATACTTTTATCACATTACATGGTCGTATTTTACAATGCAATAAAATCCCACAAATCACACACT